CATGTTATAGTCTGTAAAATAGGCTGGTTGTACAGATGTACCTGTACACTTTGTTTTCCACTTGCACAATTCTCTATGGGCCTGTGGTTCATCAATTACCCAAGTACTTAGAAACATCCCTCTGCATTTCCCACACACACAGCTTTCCATGGGCCTATGCTGTGGCTTTGTCATCCAGGCCAGTACCTAGAAACATCTCCTTCCTAGGTTTCCTGCCTCTAGCAGCCCGAGTTGGCTCATTTTTCAAGGAGCCCTTTTCCAGATATCCTATATTCACAGTTATTTCTCACCTGATGACACATTCCATTCTGTAAAGCATGGCCATGCTACAATATTCAAGGGTGTTCTCTGAATAAGCTTGGAAACAAATTGGACTTTGCTCTTTATTCTTTATTTATTTAGCTGATGAAAAGATTATTAAACCGAGCACCTAAAGTTTGGTAAGTGATTACAAAATTCAGCATCCTTGTCTAAAGGACGGAGACAGAGAAAGAAGAAAAGCAAGTTCAGGGGAGAAAGTCTGTCATCTATCTATCTATCTATCTATCTATCTATCTATCTATCTATCTATCTATCTATCTAGCTATCTATCTATCTATCTAATCATCTATCTACAGGTAATATCCCTGGTTAAGAACGCCCCGGTTACAGAGAACCCATAATTAATAATGGAGCTTATTATAGCAAAATTCAAGTTAAATACAAGGTAGATAGTTCTATCTATCTATCTATCTATCTATCTATCTATCTATCTATCTATCTAATCATCTATCTACAGGTAATATCCCTGGTTAAGAACGCCCCGGTTACAGAGAACCCATAATTAAGAATGGAGCTTATTATAGCAAAATTCAAGTTAAATACACAATGTTTCTAGTTAAATACACGATAGTTTGAGTTAATTACACAATACTACTTATACAGTATTATACAACAATACTGTTTCAGCTTACATACAAATTTGACTTAAGGACAGACCTTAGGAATGGAACTCATTCTTTAACTGGGGACTACCAATAGATAGATAGATAGATAGATAGATAGATAGATAGATAGATAGATAGATAGATAGATAGATAGAACTATCTACCTACCTAC